TGGGGTATACAGAGGTGTTATCAGGGAGTACTGATCAGTGCAACTTGTAGGTTTCACACGCATTGACTTGAGTTGTACAATCCTAGATCGTGTCATGGGCTCTGTTATTTGCGCTTTGTAAAACTTCGGTGCGATGCGAGCGCACTGTGGGGTCCCTTTGCTCGTCATTTAGCTCCTAATTGAGTCAAATTGTTCGCTCCAAAGTGAACTAGGATTACCCTAGTGCACTGGCTAGGTTATTAAACACAAGTCTATGATTTTGCACGATTACGTGAAGAGGGTTGTTGGCAGGTGCTGTGATGTGGTTTACTCCTTTTCCCCATCAAACATCTATTGTCATTATCTCTTCTCCCCCTTTTTTGTGTTTGCTATTCTCTTGTAACGCCTCTAATCTTCGGCACTTATATGATCTAATCGTGATGCAAGTGCCGTAAAGCTCCTACTAAAACTAACAAAATACTCGACCTATTAGTCGCCCGAACCCGCTTTAATGAAAGGGGAGCAAAGAAAGTAGGTCGATGCATCGTTATCAGTCAGGGGGTGATTCAGTGCGTGAAGGTTACAAGAAACCAGTTTTTCCTCCCTCTAAAATCTTGTTGTTGTTGTTTTTTTTCCACTTAAAAAAAGCAGCTTGTGATCTGGCAGAACCCACCGTGTTCCCCATCGAGTGCCACTTGAAAGACGTTTGACTCTCTGACTGAAAGTACACTCGAAATTGTCAAAGACGCCCTCCCATTTTCGGGGAGAAAAGTGACCGACTGAAACAGGTGGCCGTCTCATACATTGCCATTATGTTTTTATTTTAAAATGCGTTAAAAAAAAAGGGGGGGGCAGACGTTTGCGGCTGTCATCATGATTCTTTCTCACATTGCAAGTGCAGTCAAAACTGTCTAAGACGGCCACCCATTTTCGGGGAGAAAAGTGGTCGTCTTACACAGTGTCACTTTAATGTAAAAAAAAGTGCAAGGGAGGAAATGGGAAGTGGCCGTTTGTACGGGTGGTTGTCTCATTCAACTGACTATTAGAATAGGTGC